TTAGTTTGTAGACAAAAAAAAGTATCAGTATTTAGGAAGAATTCGTATCTAAGAGGTCTAAACGTTTCTAGGTTGTTCCCTCTAGAATTAATGAAATCGCCCGCCTGACTTCGCACGAAGTCACACGTGTGTGTGTAATGTGCCTGTGGTGTGTGTGTGTGTGTGTGTGTGTGTGTGTGTGTGTGTGTGTGTGTGTGTGTGTGTGTGTGTGTGTTTGTACCTGTGCGCATGTTTTTCTGATTCCTACTCGAAAGCCGGAGTGAAGTCTGCCATCTCCATGCATGTTAGCACTTGCCGCACTCATGATAATCGGCTCATTAATCCGTCCCGCTAACCTTGACCTTTGCTGACCTTCCAACTCCCCCAACTCTTCATTATCAAACAGTTCATAAACACTTCACCCTTGACCTTTTCGGTCTGATAAGCAGATATAATTGACCACAAGCGCATGAATCATGCGGTGATTATAAGGAACGTGACATCATGAAAATTTACATTTTCAACGGCCCACCGTTTATTTTATTTATTTATTTTTGTACTGTAAAACAGAATTTTCAGAGTCAATTTTCTGGTTATTTTTAGAAAGCTGAATCAACCCTATCCCTTACCATACTGACATCTGTGAGGCAAACATGCGATGTCGCTGACGGAAAACGGACGCTTGTTTCGTATGTCGCTAGCTATTTACAGGTGGTACCTAAAATAAAGGGACTCCTCATCAGTACACGTATCTTGTCTGTTTCAAACGCTTTAGGCATGGCAAAACTGTACTCAGAAATGGCAGTAAATGTTACAATCAGACAGACAGCATTAGATGCTATCAAGCGACGTGACACAGATTATGAGCTTGTTTATGTCGGCTTGTGTGGACTTTGAGTCGGATCGGACCCAATCAGTCTAGAACTATTCTCGGGAGCATGACGTAACGCTACACACATTTGTTCTGCCTAGTCCCGCAGAGAAAACAGCTGCCCACTCACCGACTGGTCTGTCAACAGTTCTCCTACCTTCCACAAATCATTAATTTAGGTGGCAAAATGGGAACTGTCTGGCAAATGTATACTGTCTGGCCAATTTCATACTGTCTTTGCAGCCAACAAATACAAGATATGCTTGGAGACTAACAAATCACCAGATCAGCGGGACCACGCAGAGGCTAGTAGCAGTCTTGAAAAAATATTTACGGTTTCATTTTCGCGGTGGAGAAGGACCGCGAAACATGATACTGTGCATGTGGATATGAGGTTTTGTGCAACATAATAGTTTCGAATACCGAGGAAACTTTTCTTTCCAGTCCTATACCGCAAAATAAAATCCCCGCGAAAATAACATAACCTTAGCACGCTGAAGGTTAATATACGATTTTTGTGGGGGAGGTGTTTCTGGTACTAGTAATTCCCTTATTACGAGCATGAGTATGCATGATAAAATTATTTTCTTTCAAAATTCTTCTTCAGAGAACTCTGTTTTTTTTTTTTTGCGATTTTCGATTTTGTGTAACTGTTGTGCTTTGAAGACTGGTCTCCTGGTCCTCAGCGGTGGCCAGGAAACATATGTCATTGCGACTGACGAAGACCTGAACTTGACCGTAGGAGCTGATAAACTCTCTCTCTCTCTCTCTCTCCCTTTCTCTCTCTCTCTCTCTCTCTCGCTTGAACGTCAACTATATTCTGAACTGAAAGAGGGGTCTAGGCCCCGACAATGTCGACCATGGCTGCGATTCAAGGACACTCTAAAACGTTGTAAAGGAAATGTACCATCCTGTTGTTGCGCAGTATCATATAAAGTCGTAGTCTTTTGAGACTGACTAGACAGACAGAGAGACGTGACGTGTTTGGAGTAACGTTTATACAGAACAAAGATAGTGTTTCCAGTTGTTGTCACAGCTTGGAGGAGGTGTATACATAGGGGAAACATTCTATACAGTTGTTCATTGACGGTCTTGCGTCTTTTATGTTATCATAAGCCCCTGTCACACATAGGCGACCATGCTGGTCTCCCGACCTTCTCCAGACCATGGAGGTTGCCTTCTGATCTTGGAAAGTCGTCTGTGCCAGTCAGCTGTAAATTGTGGAAAGTCAAAAAGTCATCAACAACGATATTCCCTTGTCATCAACAACAATATCCAACTGTCATCAACAACCGTATTCACCTGTCATCAACAATAATATCCACCTGTTATCAACAACAATATTCACCTGTCATCAACAATATCCACCTGTCAACAACAATATCCCGACGTCAGCCACATAGGCAAACTCATCCTACCCAGCATGCAATGCGACCGTTGGGGGCTATGCATGAAGGTATCCAGAACACCTTCAATTCCGTCAAAATATTACATAAAATCACACATACAAGTGATAACAGCAATTTCTTTGTCAGTAACGTGATGAAAAAATTGGTTATAATGCAATTTATTTGTTAATGGTTGAAGGATACAAATTATATAGTATACGCTAAAACCCCATTGTCGTCCACTGTTAGTCAAAATGGCGGACGCAGGTTCTGATTCTGCCCAAGAGGTCGGTTCTGAGGCTAGCACACCGAGCAGCAGCAAGGTACGGCAGTAACGGGCATGTCAGCACGGACAGGAATACTTAAAGTCCACCTAGGGTTGTTTCTTGGAGGATATACTAAGTTAATGAGGTCGTATGTTGGATTTTGTACACGTAGCTTCAAAGGGGGAGGGGGGTAACAGCATAAAGATGCTGACGAAAATTTATGACATCATGCTACCACTTTATTCCTATTTCTGGTGGGCATATTAGACAAACCTCTTATCAAAACATATCTGTTCTTACATTTCCACCAGCACAAAGAAGCAAGGAGAAGCCGAAGTACATGTTAAGTTGGATATAGACCTGTGCACAAATTATGAACGTGTACCTAACCTAGGCCCAGTGGGTACTAGTATGTAGGTACAATCAAGGGCCTCAGACTGACATTTTTGTTTAGTTAGGCCATGGTGATTTGATTATATGGATGACATCCGCGCGCGCATGAATTTTCGGCCGTTTCCAAAAAAAAAACAGAAGTTTTCAACCATACTGTAAATCGTACAAAACAGTTGCAAAATGAGCAAAAATAAAAATATTACCATCAGTTACAAAAAAAATTAATAAAAACTATGCCAATGTCGTAGAGTGCCAAAATCAAACGAAAAAAGACGAAATTGTAAAGAAATGAACTTGAAGACTAGATTATTCGCCAAACCATATTCTTTGCCATTTGCTCAACCCTCATGACCACGTAGATTTCATAATGAAAAGAACTTTTTTTTTTTGCAAAACTTTTTTTATTCGCACGCGCGCATCAGTTTTGGGGCTCCCGGAGGATGTCATCCATATAATCAAATCAACATGGCCTTACCATGATTCTGTTGCTTACTAAACAAAGAAAATAAACTTCTGGTGGTCTAACAGGCATCTAACAGCACGGTACAAGAATATAATTTGACCTGAAGATTTATTATAGAATGCAGGTTTTATGGTGTGTTGTTTTGCCCGTAGCGGGTGATGTCTCTGCTCAGTGTGCTGGAGATCTCGGTGACGGAGCCGGAGCGCCGGACGGGCGTGACCGCCATTAACATGAAGGAGACGTACACGGTGTACCTGGTGGAAACAAGGTAGGAAAAATAAGGTGATCTGCATGAGGAGAAGGTAGAGCTTTGTTTGTTATAATGTACCCCAGGCCAATACAGTTATTATATAAGTTGAATTACATGTAGGCAAGTTCTGAACACTATTTTTGAGCTTCTCACAAGTTACAGATACGTACAATGCTCTGTCCGGTTTCAATACAAACAGTACAACTACATGTAGTAAGTGTTACAAGTATGCAATTTGCATTTGTCCAATGTACACAGCTCATTTCCAGGTGCAGATCCAGGTGCAGATCAGCTTATGAACTGCATATCCAACACGAACATAGCATACTTGTACATGTACTATGCTCCACTGATGCATTGTGTATTTATAACATATGACCTGCATAACATAGTTGCATTCTCAAAACTATGCTGCATACTGAGCTGCGCTGTGTGTGCTGTGCATTGCCACTTGTAAACTTTTTGTTTAATTCTATTTTCTGTCCGTCTGTTTGCAGGATCACAGACATGAAGTCAGAACTGCTGCCAGAGACCTTCACGGATGAGACCTTCTCCCTGTGGCGGCGCTACAGCGAGTTTGAACTGCTGAGGAACTACCTGTGTGTGACCTACCCTGCCGTGGTCATCCCGCCACTGCCCGAGAAAAAGGTAATGCTTGTTTGTTTGTGCAGTCTTGTATGTCCTTATGATTGTTTCACATGTTCCATTTGGGGTCACCAGCAGTCATTCGAACAGAAAACATGTTCCATTTGAGGTCACTGGCAGTCTTCCGAACCGAACACGTGTTCCATTTGGGGTCACCAGCAGTTGTAGTAGTTTTTAAACACCATGGTGGTTATGGAATTTAATCACCACTGATAGCATTATGGTGTCATAACCAATATAAAATGAGGACCTCTTATTGGTCCATATTTTCTGGCTATATGATAATAGTTGTTGCCATACATTGTACCTGGTACAATTGTTGAGCCATTAAGTTCATTCATTGTTCATCCCAGATCCACATGATGTGGCAGAAGTTGTCTGGAGGGGAGGACAAGTTTGACCCTGACTTTATCGAGCGCCGTCGAGCTGGGCTGGAGAGTTTCCTCCTGAGAGTGGCGGCACACGGCCAGCTGTCCCAGGACAAAATCTTCCACAGTTTCCTGCATCAGGTAAGCCTGGCTTCCAAATACTGTTTTTCTCAGGTTGTCCATGAAGCAACCTAAGCCAAAAGCTACGTACGTTACCCATCAATATATCAGGTTGCCATCAACACCAGCTGTTTATCTTAGAAGTTATAGAACTATAGAAGGCTAGGCATATGAATGAAAACCAAGCAGAAGTCAGGAGGGAAAGACAAGCCAAATCAAATGAAGTGATGCAATTCTCTACAGCACATAATTGCTAATAAACTATCAGGGGTTTTTCTAAACAGGGGAATAAGGGAGCTGCTCCCTCATGTAACCAGCCAGCTCCCTCATATCAATTTTTAGATAGAAACCTAAGTGGCTACTTACACACCATTTAAGTCTAATTCTCAAAATGATCTTTTTCCAGTAAAGATGTAAAAACAATGCAACAGTGCATTCTAGCATTACAAACTGTGTTACTCTTATTAAAAAATCCCCCCTTGGTCGCTTTGTTCCTTGCCATGCTTGTGATCTGCTCCCTCTTGCTAAATTTTTCTAGAAAAACCCCTGACTATCACAAAATATCTCCTTTGCATTAGAAAGATACATCACGATTGTGAATCTAAGTCCAGCCTTACTAGCATGAGTCTAATTGAAGTTACAAATCATCACACTCACAACTCTTACCTGCAAACCTGTTGTGTTACACCGAATGGCGGTTATACCGGCTATTCAGATACAGATACACCGTAGATGTCATCCAACCATCTTGGCCCACCGGCTTTTTAAAAAGTATTTCTTGTCCTTGTTCAGGGTGAAGGTTGGAAGGAAGCAGTCTTGGCTACTGGCTACCAGAACAAAGTGAGTATTTCCCAAAATAACATCATCAGGTTGCTGAAAAATAAGATATCAGAGTTTTCTTTTACACAACGAGTAAAGACTTGATCACCTTATTACCTTGATCACCTTGTACAATATATTGATAGGATACCTGTGTACGTTGTGTATAATGGCCATGTTGTTGCTTAGTTAACCATTGCTTGCTCTTGCTCACACTACTGTACTTTCCCTTCCTGCTGCCTAAAGAAAATCTACTTGATTCTAAGGACTGCTCAGGTACTTTACCTTACTTCAGTAATACAGGAAACGAGAAGGGGGGGGGGGAATTATAATATATGTGTGAACTGTGCATGCCTGAGGGTAAAGATGAAGGCCCCTAAGTTGTTAACAGTACTAGTTGAGGTATCCACAGGTTTTATTATCACTTTATTACCGAAGATGCTTAATATAGACCCTCTGAACATCTTGTCTATATAAATAAATGTTCCCTACACATTCAATGTATCTTTTTCTTTCATCTCCATTCATTTTTTTCCCATTTAGACAGTTCCATTTTGCTTACTGACTTGTGTAACAAAAGTGAATTTCAAGCCTGTATCAGTGCTTAAGATAAGTTAAATTGTTCTGAAGCTTGACATTTGCTTTGCAAGGTTTTCATGTACAGTTTTTATTTCTCTTCAGATGGATTCCAGGCTGAAGACACTCAATGCCCAATTCAGACTGAAGAACCCAGATAGGTATGATAGAAAAAGTTTTTTTTTCTTTCTAATATTCAGAATCATGCTGCAATATCAAGCTATTAGTAGTTGGTGTGATATTACAGGCTTTGGCCACACCAATTTAATTTCTTGGTTAACGGATGTTTCTAGAAAAATAATGGAGCGGGCGGGCGAAAAAAAATAAAAATAAAAACAGGCCTAGGCATCCTATTATGGCCCAAAACGGTACCATAGGAGCCATGAAATCAACACACCAGGGTGGTTCAAAATTTAAACAATGAATTTTTAACTTTTAATGATACCACTGCATTGAAAGATGGAATAACTGTAACAACTAGGATCAAAAGGAATGTTTTCAACTATTCAGGGCAAAATATGATCATTTTGCAGTTGATTCTGAATTTTTATTTTTATTTGCAAATCAGAAAAAAATGAAGCGGCGAATCCGTTAACCAAGAAATTAAATTGGTGTGGCCTTTGATCTATACATGTAGTTCTCTTAAATAGCAAGTGCTGAGAGTTGGTAAATGAGTGACTAAACTTGAGGTAATGTCTGTTTCCAGACGTTTCCAGGACCTGAAGAACTACAGCAGTGAGCTGGAGGCTAACATTGCCAACTTGCTGAAGATCAGGGAGGTAATGTATACATCCTCATGTGCTTCATTCCTTCAGTCCATCTCTGGGGTTTATACATGACCTGTTCTTAGCTTGCATCCTTTTTTGCTGTGTCTCCTTCCCTTCATCCTTCCTCAGTGCTTTCTGTCTTTTCTTTAATCTGTCCTGGTTGCTATCTCTCCTTCCCTTCATCCTTCCTCATTGCTTTCTCTCCTTCCCTTCATCCTCCCTCATCGCTTCCTCTTCTTCCTACCTGTTGTGTTTTAGACTTTCTTGTTTTTACAATAGCTTCTTGTCTAACCCCATCCTGACATCTGTCTCTATATTTAGTACTATGTCTAAGCTCTAATCTGTAGACTAAATGTTTTATCTTGAATTTAGAACGCTCAAATCTAATTCATTGTGTCTCTGATGGGCTTACACAGCTCTGTACCAGATAATGAAAATCCCAAAAGCCATTGTTATATGTGTATGTACAATGCAATTTGGATTAACCTTTTTTAAGAGAGGATGTATATACTTGAACATGTAAGGTTACTTCAAGTCAGTTTCACAGATCTCATTTGTATAATTGAGTTTGTATGGCTTTTCTGCAAGGTAAATACATGTAGGCTTTTGTGTCAGCTACAATGTGTATTTTGTCACTTCAAAAGGTGATATTTCCTGGGCCTATACCTTCAGATACTTACCATATATTGATTAGTTTTGCAGAAGGGGAAAGGAGTTTTTAGCTGGGCTTTACAATTTATAATTCCGAACACTGTTGTTCCCATGACAGAGGCTGGCGGAGCGGCTTTACGGGATCCACAAGATCCACGCTAACTACGGGCGTGTGTTCAGCGAGTGGAGCGGTATTGAGAAGGAGATGGGGGATGGACTGCAGAGTGCCGGACACTTCATGGACGTGTAAGGGACTTTACAGCTACATGACATACATTTGAATGACAGTATTCTTAGTACAATGTAGGCATGTACCAGCATCAGTATTTTTAACCCTTCGTCCTGTGGAGCCCATATACGGGTTGCATAAACAGTAACATCTATACCTGTATATGCACGATTTGGGGTATTACTCGTGCAACGTATCACAACGCAATGAAACGCAATGAATTCAGAAGTAGCTTCGCCACCGCAGGGCAAAAAAAAGCCAGGGGTCTATGACCAGATTAAGACGTGAAATTGTTGAAAAATATCGTGTAAAAAATGCCAGCAGGACAAGGGTTAAGTGTGAAACTTCTACACATGAAATAAAGTACCCCAACACAGGTACATGTAACTATGGAGATAGGGATGACCTGGTGTGCTTGGATGAAAACTTGAACCATAGAGAATCTGCATCACACCACTAGCTACCTGAAAAAAAGCATCACACTTCACCCTAGCATGGCCTTTACCTTACCTAAGCCTTTTTCTAAGATTTTAAGAAAAAGTGTTTTAATTGTTGTATGACCAGTGCAAGAGCACATTTACACATTGCTGTGACTGTGACTGATTGGCATTGTGGTACTGCCTAATGCTAATTTCAACCTATCCACACCTGTTTTACAGATATGCAGCTTCCATAGACTCCATGTTGGAGGAGGAGGATACGTATGCTGATGCCCTGAAGGAGTATCTGTACTTTGCGGATGCTCTCAGGTCAGGAAAAAACATTATCCTTTGCCTTTTGTCTCTGTTATGTTAACCCATAATGTATTGTGCAAAGCACTTCAGCAGAACGTCTCATATAAGGTTGTATTCGCATATACATGTATAAGGTTAATGTCCCGTCTGTAGTTTCCAAATAGTGTGTCCAAAAAGATATCGTCTGCAACTGGCAAATTTCTGATGCAGCATTGACCAGAAAACCAGAGGAAATCGTGAAGGTTTTGTGCAGGCGCATGTTTTGCTGACGTGCTGTATATACCGGAACCCCAGAACTCAGTACATGATGTTTAACAGATTCCCCTGTTGTATGTCTGACAGGTCCATCTGTAGGAAACAGGAACTGCTCCAGTATGAAGTGGAGAAGTTGGAGGACAAGTTGGTTTATCTGAGTTCACAGAAACAGCAGATGGAGCAGGGGGTATGTTTGTTTGTTTTTATGTGTTTGCTTCTCATGACTGACAAAGCGCCTTAACTTTGGCTTAAGGTGTAACATAATTATCCAGTTTTGTACATAAGCTCAAGCTGTGGAAAACTGGATTGTCTACCGCATTCCCTCTTATGTCAGGCAGACAGAATACTTCAGGTGATTGAGCCTGTCCACCCCCGTGTAGACTCTAGTTGGTATCGCCCAAAGTTGAAAGGTCACCCTCCCTGCGCATGCGCACCAGTCTAATTTTTTTGAGCAACCTGTAAACACCTTCGTGTTTTGCGTTGGTATCATGGGGTCTAGGCGTGAAAAGCAACGCGATAGACATCGTTCGAGGGCGCCTTCGGGTCCTAGGGCGACCGAGGAGAGTTCCAAGCGCGAACGTGGCGGTTCCCGGCGGCGTTCCAGCGGCAGGGAGCGCGAGGAAGGCGGGACAAGCCCGGGCGGGTCGGCGCACCATGTGCGTGAAAACGACCGCCATGACAGTCGTCAGAAGTCGTCTTCTCCGGCTATGCCGGTTCTCAGCGCTGACGGAAGCCAGCAGGAAGGCGACGGCGAACAGAAGCAGCCGCCCACGGTTCAGCAAGACGGCAACTTGCCGTCTGACGGAGACATAAGCAGTGGTGGCGGCGACGGAAGCAAGAAGACGCATGATAGCGAAGCGGAGTTTTCGCCAACAAACGTCCGCATCTCTGCCTTGGAGCAGAGTTTTGCGTCCATGTCTCAGAGGCTAGAGGCGTTCCAGGAGCTGATGTTAGCTCAATTTGAGCAATCTTCACCGAGGAAACGACGCAGCGCTCGTCCAGAGACAGCAGTTCCTGAGAAGCGCCGGAAGGAAGATAGCGCTAGCGCCCGCAGCGGCAAGCAGCGCTCCCCGTCTCACGACGGGGCGGAAGGAGAGAGCGTCAGCGGTGACTCCGGCGAACATCCGGCGG